AAATACGGGGGGTTTCAGACCAGTATCATAAATTTTAAACGCAAACCAGGTTCGCTTACAAAACCTGAGAAAATATGCCATTAGTGTTGTATTTGAGTTTTGCACACGGGCAGAAATAAATAAAGGTGGATCAATTTGCATTCACCATGATTTCCAAATGCACAGCCAAGTTGTCCTACACCTCCTATTTGGAAAAAATCAGTGAAGCACGTCAAATTCATCTTCAACCTCATTTGTCAATCCAATCTTCAATGATAGTCTCATATGAATATCTGAATACTTGCAATGACGTTCAACAACAGCCAAGCACCTCCAAAAAATCTCAGCAATCAAGAAGGAAAATCATTTGGAATAATCTCCTCCAGCCGGCTCCTTGAGTTCATTGATTTGACTATTTGATTCAAAAGGTATGTTTTGTTTTTGATTGGATTATGTCCAGCTCTGCTGTTTTCAAAACTGAGTACAGAGATTGTGGTTTGAGTTGGATTTTTGACCCATCTTTAGGTCAATCGTCTCATCAGAATGGAAGCGATTTAAATTAACTACCACTATATAGCTTCGTCCTAATGTCATTTATCTTAATTTGAATCCAGAAGGATTTGTTGATTTCAGGTCAGTTTGAATGGTCAGCTTTTGTTTCAAATGCTAACATAAACTGTCTTCTTTTGGTTGTTGGTCACATATTGTAGGTGATGGAATCACATGGAGAGAAATCCAAGTACTACTACTGGCCCCGTCTACGGGATTCAAATGAGGACAAACTTGATTGACCAAGATCAGGAAGGCATCTCTATCTTTCAGGATGTCAACCTTACGAGGAGGCTATCACCTCAAATTGTGATTAGTAATTTTGTTCAATGGACGAAGATAGATCAAGTCACCACATTTTGAAACTACTCACATCCGATCAGTATCGAAGCAATCTTACCAAGTTGAGTCCTTATTTGAATCATAACACGAGGTTTCCTACCAAAGGGTATATCATTTGAACGGTGGCACCCTTCAACCGACCAAAATATTTCTGTTCCATGGCCAAGAGCTTTCCATAACGTTTTAACGTTTGTTTTGTCACTTTACTTTGTATCTAGGCTGTTCAACATCATCTTTAGGTACATACTAGCTTTCCGACAGTCGTTAGGCGCATATCAAGAAAGCAAATACAGTTCAAGTATTATAGGGGCAATCAATCCGAATACTCACGCTGAATCAGAATGGTTGGATGAAATTATCTTACTTATTGTGATATTTACACTTTTTTCATAGAAAGTGGATTGTCAACCAGTTCCAATAGATAAAAACTTGAGATCGGTGAGTTCTTTAACGTGTTTGAGTTGAAATTGTGAGATTAAACTGATCAACAGTTTTCTCAAACTACAATAATCCTTCATTCTTATCTGTTTGACTTCAAGACCTCGATCTCAACAAACTCATCAACTCTGTTGGATCACAAATCTTCAAATAGAACGTCTTATATTAATCACCATCAATTTTGATTATTAAAAAATCATCAAAGGATTCAATCATCATCACCAACACCAAAACCAAAAGCCAAAACATGCAAGACCCAACACATAAGTTTTAATCATCACATCTTTCATCAAGTAAGAACTCAACAAACCTATCAAATTTGAAAGATAGAAAACTAAGAATAATCTTAACCCCTTCAGACTTGATAGGGACATCATAATCCCATAGAGCAAGACTGTGTCATGAAGAATCAAAGTTCAATTTTGGGTATAAAAATCTAACTTCAAGAAATTGAACAAACCATCAAAACATCCAAAAGTGAGCAAGAGATTTTAAAAAGATTAAAACAAAATTTAGAATTAAAACCCGTAAATCACTGTTTATGTATTGGAGCATTTGATGGATATGGAGGGTCAGAATTGTCAGAATTTTCAAAATCTAATGTATATGAAATCATTGAAAGTCATAATCTAACAGAAATTCATTTTTACAAGCAGATCAAAATTTAAACACTTCAACACCAAAATCAAGATCTGTAGGAAAATGAGGTTTAGGTGATTCTAGATTTGAAACTCTGTGTGTACCTGGTGAACCTGATATTGTTAAAAAGTATTAAAAGGTAAAAAAAACCTTTGAAATCCAATTCAACTTTTTCATTGATCTTTATAGTTAAAATATTGAACCTGATGAAATCTTTTTTTGAATGATGATGTTCTTTTATTTGGATTTTCAGTTTAGGTGCTGGATAGGCATTTATACTGATAGTATTGAATGGTGCTTCAGAACGCATGTCAAATCAGGAAGTTATGATTTGTGTTGTATGTACTGAAATCAATGCACAAAAGCAGCAGAATTCAACGTAGATATTGCTGAAAAACTTGGAGGTTAAATTCAACAATCCAATCCTCTCATTTAAGGAGTGCTAATACATTTTCTTTGAAAAACCATCTTTTCTCTTTGTTTGGTGGGTTTCTTTTATATTTATGTTAATATGACAGCTATCATTGTCCCATTTGCTACGTGAGGTCAAGTTGGAGGAATTGATTTGATGGCTAATAGGGGTGAGTTTAGATCAAAACCAAAACAAATCAAAGTGAACTTCAACATAAGATGTGATTTCAAATAGATCAAGAAGTCGTGTACTTCAGCTTCAGCAAATCAGAAATGTTTTGAAAGTCCAACAGCTAACTCACAGAAATCATTGAAGTCAACATCTGTACATCAATTGGTTTAAGTCAACTGCGCAGCATTGTTCAATGAATCAATCAGTTTATTTTCATTTGCATTGTGGTTGTTTCACTTTGGTTTCATTAGCAGCTTCTCAAACCAATCATCAACTTCCTGATTTTCATTTCAAGATGATACCAACAAACAATCAAAGAAGCCAATAGTTTGCAATTTGAATTTGAAGAGAAAATATCATGATAACTCAGAACTTGGATTTTGGCCAAGTAGCACATTGATTTTTATCAGGGAACTCAAAAAGGATTTCTAGAAACTCAAGTTTCAAAGCATCTAAAACAGGCACCAATAAGTCTGAGACTTCTTCTGACTTGGCTTTAGGCTACTCTGTATGGGGGTATCTTTCTTTGCAACTTTTTCCATGGGACATAGGCCTGTACTCAGATGACCAGTGCGGCGCCCGCCGCCCAAATGGCTAGTTTGAGTTGAATCTGGTGTTTAATCCAGTTTTGTCAGTTTCTGACCCGGGGATTCCAAAATTTTGATTTTTGAAATTTCAAGTTGTCACTTTGAGACATGTCACATTCCGTAATCAGGTATGCGTCAAAAAAAGGATGAATACCCTATTTGCCCAAGTCAACCTGTTCCGGATTATGTGAAAGGTGTGTCATAGGGTATTTGAAGGTGCCTGATTCCAAATATACACTTACTTTTTGGGTGGTGCGCACCTTGCCAAAAATATGGTGTAATCATACTTGGACAATCAGATATGCGTCCAAAAAGGATGAATACCATATTTCCCAAAGAGAACCTGATCCGGATTATGTGATAGGTTTGTCATAGGGTAATTGAAGGTGCCTGATTCCAAATATACACTTACTTTTTTTGTGGTGAGCACCTTGCAAAAGTTATGGTGTAATCATACCTTTGATATCACATATGTGTGTAACTATGTCAAAAAATGATGATTTGACTTTTCCCCAAGTCAACCTTTTCCGGATTATGTGAGAGGTGTGTCATAGGGTAATTGAAGGTTCCTGAATCCAAATCTACACTTACTTTTTGGGTGGTGCGCACCCAGCAAAAGTTATGGTGTAATCATACCTTTGAAATCACATATGCGTGTAACTGAGTCAAAAAATGATGATTTGACTTTTCCCCAAGTCAACCTTTTCCGGATTATGTGAAAGGTGTGTCATACAGTAATTGAAGGTGCCTGAATCCAAATCTACACCTACTTTTTGGGTGGTGCGCACCCAGCAAAAGTTATGGTGTAATCATACCTTTGAAATCACATATGCGTGTAACTGTGTCAAAAATGATGATTTGACTTTTCCCCAAGTCAACCTGTTCCGGATTATGGAATAGGTGTGTCATAGGGTAATTGAAGGTGCCTGAATCCAAATCTACACTTACTTTTTGGGTGGTGCGCACCTTGCAAAAGTTGTGATGAAAACATACTTTGACAATCAGGTATGCGTCAAAAAATGATGATATGACTTTTCCCCAAGTCAACCTGTTCCGGATTATGTGAAAGGTGTGTCATAGGGTATTTGAAGTTGCCTGAATCCAAAGTTACCCTTACTTCTGATGTGGTGCGCGCATGGCAAAATTTGTGGTGTAAACATACTTTGGCAATCATAAGGTATGCGTCGAGATATGTTGAATACCATTTTTCCCCAAGTGAGTGTTTTCTAGATTATCTGAAATGTCAGTCTTGGGGTAAATGAAAGTTCATGATTCCACCAGAAATCACACATACACAAGATTAAAATACGTGCTGCTTTATGGAAACCACAAGACATTCCTGGATGGTTTGTACTTGCATGTGCTCTAATTGTTCCAGTTCTTACATTATTTACATTACAGTTGGCACAGAAATTATTGGTTATAGTATTTGAAGCTATATAGATTTCTAGCATATTTGGGAAGGTCTTAATTGGTTGTCTTTGTGTTATTACACTCATATTGGGACATGTTTCACTCTGCTTGGGAAAGTTTGTATACTTTTATTACACTCATGTTGCAACACATTTAGTATACATGTTGAGACACTATGTAAACTAAATGATTTCATAGCTGAAGTAAGTCAAGAGCTCACGAGGAAACATAACTCAAGGCCAATGGCTGAATTTGAAATCTGGAGATGTTTTCCTACATGATGGATAGAGGATTGTGATGAATAATTTATGAAGTTGCGTCTTAGAGCGGTAGTAAAAGCGGGCAAGGGAACACCATATAGATTTTATTATTCTTACCATTAGATCATGCATTTGCATCCAAAAAAATTCATACGCAGTTCTGCAAGCTTCATTTGAATCGGAAGTGTTGATGAAGTGTTGATAAATGTGATGCTTGATGTGAACGTCAAGGTCATCCTTCAATCTAATAACCGGATGGGGAAGGACTTGCGCATCGAGCGTCTCATACTGCAGGTATGACATCTTGACATCCATGTTAGGTGATTTGATTGCATGTATCGGATTGGTTGATGTCCAGAAGAATCAAAACTGGTTCTGCCCTATTCCGACCTTAATGTTAGGGTCACAGAACTTGGAGGTTAGGGTATAGGTTTGGAATTTTGATTCTAGAACGATTTAAGAATCCAAAGACCAAACCCAGCAACAACCAACAAAATCCTACAGAAGCACACCAGGCCGGCGTACCATTCTCCACTTCTATCACTTCTATCGTTCCACCCCCAGTTAGCAGCTGTTTTCCCCTCGTTGTTGGACTCCGTACTACAAACCGGGGGAATCCGGCCTACTGTTCAGGGAGGGCGTAGACTCAGTACTCTTTCAACTGCACTCAATCAATCTAGCATCTCTTCTTACAAAACTCCGATTTCAATACTCTCGAGTCTCGATCCTCATCTTCCAGTAAGCTTTCAAACATAGATCTACCCATCCGTTGGATGGAGTGCTAACAATCGATTCGGCATCCATCATACACACCACTAGGTCTTCAGTTGTGAAATCAAACCTAGCGTTCGACTTTCAATATTTATTGATATTGGATCGGATATCAATCTGAGGGTGATTTTTTTTGGATCACACTACATTTCTCTTATCTATAAAACCATAGCTAAGATTGTTTCTATATCTGCTATATCAGAACTTGTGAATTGTCAACTGTCGCTACTAGCTTGGAACGTTTGAAATCGAACAATCCAACTTTTGATCTTTATAAACATCATCTCACAGGGTAAGTCGGCATGAATCTCATTACAATCTCTTTTGATTTGTAGCTAAGTATTTATGTATCTAATAGCTTGGAACGTGTGAAATTGACTGTCCAACTAGCTCGGAACGTGTGAAATCGAACAATCCAACTTTTGATCTTTATAAACATCATCTTACAGGGTAAGTCGGCATGAATCTCATTACAATCTCTTTTGATTTGTAGCCAAGTATTTATGTATCTAATAGCTCGGAACGTGTGAAATTGACTGTCCAACTAGCTCGGAACGTGTGAAATTCAACGATCCAACTTTTGATCTTTATGAACATCATCTTACAGGGTAAGTCGGCATGAATCTCATTACAATTACATTCTGTTTTGATTATTAGCTAAGTATTTATGTATCTACTAGCTCGGAACGTGTGAAATTGACTGTCCTACTAGCTCGGAACATTAGAAATCGTGTGGTCCAACTTTTAATCTTTACAAACATCATTGAACAGTGTAAGTCATAATGAATCACATTATTCCAATATCTATTGAGTAATAGCTAAGTATTTATGTATCTCTCCTAAATGTTTCCAAGTTAGTTACTAGCTCATAAACGGTGAAATCAAACGGACTCTCAAATTGCTACCTACTCGCTCTTAGACGGGGAAATCAATTGGAATCTCAACTTTTGAAGGGTCTAAAGATCTTAATTTTATACATCGATCTTATTCAGGATGACTCGTTCAAGGAGTAACAAACGGAAGCAAAAATCAGGAGTTAAGGTGTCAAAAATATTGTAAGGTGAAGGCTCTTGGGCACTCTTACACGCGTCATCATGCAAAGCGGACCGAATTCAAAAGGAAACTCGTCAGGGAGCTTGGATTACCAATTGATACAAAATTCGTATTCCGTTATAGTCTAAAAGACCAACCTGAACAACCGGAACGCAAACCGATTAAGATTGAAACCGGAACCGTTGTTGTGATTAATAAGAAGGATCTCTCAATAGTAATGGTAGTTTGATGTACCCCATTTAAAGATATGGACAGCAAACTTAGAGAGAAGTATAATCATTCTGTATCCACTACATTTCAACATGCACGGGCCAGAAACCAATGTAAGATACATTGTTCTCTTCGACATGATAATAAAGAAGAAGGTGAACATGAGGATAAAAATATGATATGTGGATGGATGGGTTGTTGTGGTTGGAGAGGGGGATGTGAGAAAGGGAAAAGCGCAGGTAAATGATTTCATCCTATCTTCCAAATCTTATCAATATCTCTTGAAGATCACTTTTTATTGATATTTGTATTAATTCTTGGCCCTTGCTATTTGCAGCCCACATGAAATCCATGTAGGCGCTGCCAAAACAGCGCCTACATGAAGGTTTCCCACGAAAAAGCGCCTACATTTATGATGTAGGCGCTTTTTCCTTTTTCAAATGACGCCTACAGGCTGAAAAACCAATGTAGGCGTCATTTGTGTACGCCTACATTCTAAAAATAAAATGTAGGCGTAAATTTGAAGCGCCTACATTGTGTAGGCGTCACAAAAATGCGCCTACATCTTTTTTTTTTGACTGTAGGCGTAATTTTTGTGCGCCTACATATTTTAATACCAACACCCTTATAATTTAATACCAACACCCTTATAATGTAATACCAACACCCTTATAATGTAATTCCAACACCCTTATAATTGTATAATCAAATGCGCACTCTTACATCGAATACCCTTATCATTTAATACCAACACCCTTATAATTAATCTCACCACCTTTATATATTAATACCAGCACCCTTATAAATTTGTATTCACACGTGTATAAGACCCTTATAACTAACTTAAGCGCCTACATGGAAAAAACAATGTAGGCGCTCAAAAATAGCGCCTACATTTTATTTTTAGAATGTAGGCGCTTGAAAATAGCGCCTACATTTTATTTTTAGAATGTAGGCGTACACAAATGACGCCTACATTGGTTTTTCAGCCTGTAGGCGTCATTTGAAAAAGGAAAAAGCGCCTACATCATAAATGTAGGCGCTTTTTGGCGGAAAACAACCGTGTAGGCGTAATTTGGACAGCACCTACATGGATTTCATGTGGGCTGCAAATAGCAACGGCCTAATTCTTTTAGGCCCATATTCTTTAAGTGCTTTCACTTCTGCGAACATTGGACGAATTCTTAGCGACAAGCAGAGGATGATTGAATTTCATCAGATTTGTGATTTCTGGGCAGAAAGGTTTTCATCTTTATCCCTTTCTGTCTTCAAAACCAATATTGCACTTGGACTTCAAGCAAACATACCAGGTTTCGATTCCTTGGCATGGGAAGATACCCAAAATGGATTAGTATTTGCCTCAAATCTAGTTGTCACATGTGATGGATTTTGTAACCATTCTCATTCTGATAAAGATCATACCAGATATGCGTTTGGGATGTGGGGAATGATTATTCAAGCCAGTGGACAGCCATATGATATGGAGGAGGGGGTTGAAGTTGGTGGGGAAAAGGTCAAGCTAGGTAAAGTGACCGGTTCAAAATTTTGTGTGGATGAATTTGGTATTGAAGTGGTAATGGGGGTTTGTAATGGTTTGTATGATTTGTTATGGGATACCACGGTGAGTTTTTTTTGTCTGATGTGAATTGGAACATTCGCAAGGGCTAACTGTTTCTTCGTTCAGATCCCACATTATACTACACCGTCAGTAGCATATGATGCTGAAGGTTATGTTGTGCCACATAAGACGAGCAAAGTCACCTTATATGGCTCATCATGTCAAATTTCAGAGTCGTTGGTCCAGCGTATCAAACTCCTAGGCGAAAAAAAAAGGTATGAGTGATTTAGAATGGAAAAATTATTGTGATGAGAGAGTGAAAACATATGAAGTAGAATTTGACACCAAGTATGATAAGGCTTTTGAAAAAGAGGAATTAAGACAGGCGGATTGGGCTAAGAAAATGGAAGAACGTGCCAATAAGAGGGTATTGGCTCAAGCTAAGAAAAACCAGAAGAATAAAAAATAAATGATCATTAAAAGTTGTTTTTCAGTATTTTAACTGTTATGATTTTACCTTGCTTATGTTTGTTGTCAATTCTTGAATGATTCTTCTGAAATATCAGAGTATGATGGATTAGTGATTTTCAATTACAGTCACTATTTTGATGAATACAATTCACATGAGGGTGAACACAATTCACATGTTGGTAAATAGAATTCACATGTAGGTAAATAGATTTTGCTTGTAGGTGAATTCTATTCACATGGAGGTGAATAGGATTCACATGTAGGTGAATCCTATTCACCTCACCTACACGTGAATTGTGTGAATATAGGTGACAGTCACCCACAAAGTCACACTGATGTGTCTTCCATTCACCCAGAATCTGAGCATGATTTTAATTCACATATTTGTTATATTCACATATGGGTGATTGAGATTCACAGCTATGTGAATCTCAATCACCTATAGGTGAATACATTACAGCGATTTGCAATTATGATGAAATTTATTCACCCCCAGGTGAATACAATTCACATGGGGTGAACATAATTCACCTACATGTGAATTGTATTCACATGTAGGTGAGTGAATGCAATCACCTACACATGAATTGATAGGAACACAATTCAAACGTAGGAGATTGCATTCACCTACACGTGAATTGTGATCACCAAGATGTAAATTATGTGAACTTCAATCACCTGTATGTGTGACTATAACGCATATATGTGATTTATAGTCACACATATGTGAAAGAAGTGTTAATGAGAATATATACATATGCGTGATTAAGTTTCACATCTGTGTGTTTGAAAGGTACACGCATGTGTATATGAGTGTACCATCCAAACACACAGATGTGAAACTTGATCACACATATGTGATTAAGAGTATCTGTACTTACGTGGTTTGTAACATACATACACATTCACATAGATGTGAACTATAAAAATATCCGTGAAAGGAACTGTGAAAGTTGAGGTGAATCAAATTCGGATGACTCGTCAAACCAAGTGAAACCAAATTTCCTCATCAAAAAAATAGACCGATTTCATTCATTTCCTATCGATCGATTGATAACTTCAACATGGATGATCAAACACAAGGACCACAAAGAGATCAACCTACCCCTTCAGACGACCAAGCCAACACTAACACCAATGCTACGACCAATCTTCCTTGCCCTCCAGGTGGTGGAGTTTATGCGACTCGCGAAGAGGCCGAAATATACTTGAAGAATTTCGCATTCGACCATCACTACGCAATATCTACCCGGGATAGCAAACCACGGATCATCAAGTGGAAGTGCACCCTAGGCCCCAATGGACACCAACTGACCGCCAAACAAAAGGACCCATCGCTTGTGATTCCAACTTGTCCTTTTGCTGTTGAAGTAGTCTATGATCCAAAGAGCCGAAGCTGGATTGTTAATGTCAAGAATCCCGGTCATGATCACGGCGCCATCCCCAACCTCAAACCACCTAAACTTCCGGATCCTAGTTCAGTCAAACCCAAAAAAAGAAAGCAGCAAAGCGATGCTATCCACATTGATCTGACTCAAGAATCAAATCCTCCTGACAAATACAAAACTTTGTTAACCGAGATGGCATCTCTCAATCCGGATACCCGGAAAGTGCTCCTGGCAAGGTTTATCCATGATTGTGAATTGGCTAAACCACTTGAAAAGCCATCAAAAGATAAGGATCATCAAGAAATAAAGGTCTGTTCAAATACTAGCAATGTTCCTGTTCCTTCAGTGTAATACGATATTGACTGACAGAATCGTTTTTTTTGTAGGGGGAAGGAACTCGAGCCAAATCTACAGCAACGTCCCCCAAAGCTAACAATCCCGAATCACATATAAATCCTCACTCAGACCGACATCTTGATAAGGTTAATTATTAGGTTTTTTTTGGTATTTATCATTCGAACAAGACCCTATTGAACTTTTTATCATTCTGCTTTTGTAGCAAGGAGAACGAGGAGATTCCAAGGATTCGTCTCCGGAACCTGATCAGACCCCCCTTCAAGGTACCACCACGAACATCACTCAAGAGCACTCAGTGGATGCTGAACCAGCAGTTAAAGCTACCAAGTCTACTGATTCGAGTGAAGTTAACAACCAAGAAATCGATCAGGAACCTCATCCTCGTTCTTGAGGTGAATCTCCACTTACTTCTCAGAGTGAGACTCAGTGACCACGGGTGGCTTGTGCTCGGAAGGTCTCTCGAGTAAACCGTGCTGATGGAAATGCCGAAGTAACTCGGTTCACTCACAAATCCACTCGTGTTGCCTCTCAAACTCATGATCAAGTAAGTACTGGATGTTTCTCCCGTGGTTATGATGGGATTTCCTAGCTCCTGACATTTTTTTGATATATGAACAGCCTAACCCAAAGAGGCAGAAACCGTCAGAGGAGGTAATTTATTTTACTCGATTTGCATTCTTACTGAAAGATAATTGCTTACAAGAGATTCAGTATTTGCATGAAAAAAATAACCCCACAGCCAAATCACACACAAAAAACTTCGAAAAAGAAAAGCAAAAAAAACTTGTAGATCCGGTGTTGATTGTGAGTAAAGTATGATCTCATTGTGATTTAAGTCAGTTCTGACACCAAAATCGCCAAACAACAGAAGTGGCATTTCCTCAAGACTCTCACGAGTATCATCTATCCATTTGTCAACAAAGCCACGAATGTGAAAGGGGACGGACTATGTGCTTTTGCTTCTGTTGCAGTTTCACTTGGTCGGGATGAGGCTGATGCATGGAAAGTGCGAGCGGAGATGGCGGCCCATGTCAACGCCAACTACAAATGGTACAAAAAAAACTTACCCAAGCTCAGTCAATCTAAAACTACGGTCACAAAAACGCTCAAGATTCTTGAATATCATGACAAGGAAAAAGCACCTTACGAACTGTGGTACCCAATGCCAGGAGGATGTTGTGTTATAGCTAATACTTATAACCGGCCAGTGATATCATACACAGGAGCAGTGACCGCATGCCTTACTACACCGCCATTTTTCGAACCTCCAGAACCGGATATGGACCCCAACCCCATCATACTTGCGGTGATTCAAAAAACTCATTGTATTTCACTTGAACTGGATTATTTGTCTCCCGACCTCCCAGTGCCCTATATACATCCAGACTGGACGAATGTAAGTTCATCTTCAGCCAAAGGATGGAAAGGTATTTTTGTGGACAATATTCAGGTTTACAAAAATTGGCGCAAGAAATGTAATGCGGTCACAGCTCCTGATTGTCCAAGAGCTGTAATTTCGGATGATGAATGATTAAATGTTTCTCTCATATCTTGAAAATTTACTCTTGTAATTAAGCTAGCTGAATTACCATCATTAATTAAATAAACTCGTGAATTGTGTTATAAGAATTCATAACATGAAGATTCCAAGGATTTGTTAAACAAAAACACTTATGTGAATTGATTCACCAAGATATTTCTGACAGTCATATGTTCGTGAGTGACATTCACACCTGGGTGAATGATATACACACCTGGGTGAATGATATACACACCTGGGTGAATGACATTCACATATGGGTGAATGACATTCACATGTGGGTGAATATCATTCACATATGGGTGAATGACATTCACATGTGGGTGAATATCATTCACATATGGGTGAATGACATTCACATGTGGGTGAATGACATTCACATATGGGTGAATGACATTCACATGTGGGTGAATGACATTCACATATGGGTGAATGACATTCACATAGGGGTAAACAGCATTCACCCATATGTGAACTGTGGGTGAATGGTATTCACATACAATTGATTACATTCACCCATGTCTGAATATGTTTTACCCATATGTGACTGCAAGCAATCTATTTGAATCCTATATATGTGGGTGCGTGGCAGTCATATATGGATGAGTGTTGTTTCTGCGTGAATGCAAATGTGATTCAAATAACCATTCAAAGTACCTTAATTCGGTGAGCTAAGTTCATATATTTATAGATCAAGTTCATCATAAAAAGTTTGCAGGTACATCCACATATGGGTATCTACCCTGTGTATTTATAAATCAAGATCACTCATATGTGAATTGTGATTCTTGTATATGTAATGCTGAATGATGACTCACATAGATATGTATAATTCAAGTGCACGCATATGTGGATTGTAAATCACATGTATGTGATGATGATTGGATGAATGACGTACTGGTGAATCCAATCCATATATGAATGTGAGTCCACCTCAAAAACTGAATATCACGTATCATTGCAGTTCACATGTATGTGATGATGATTCACATACAGGTGAACATATGTAAGTCACATACAATATGGGATGCCAAAAAAATTAATATCACATATAATTGTAATGCACTTGTATGTGATGGTGATTTACATACAGGTGAATGTATGTAAGTCACAAATGGGATGTCCCTTAAAAAAATTCAATATCACATATAATTTTGATTTGCGTGCATGTGGATGGAATTCACATATGGGTGAATGGAATTCACATACGGGTGAATGGAATTCACATACGGGTGAATGGAATTCAAGTTATATGTATGTAGCTGTATCTACAGGTCAAAGTACATTCCTGTGATATTTCAACGTCTGTGGTGGTCCGTGGTAACTTGTTGGTGATCTTTCATCCGACGTGTCGGAGCCGTCGGCGCGTCGGTAGGGGGCATTCCGGACAATGTTGGATAGGAAAGACACGTTTTCTAACGGATAATATCCAAAGCGTCTAGTAGACACAGGTGTGCGGTGTCCAGTGTTCTTCTCTAGTTCAATTTCTTCCTTCCTCTCGGCCAAAAGTTTGAGTCTTCTTGCCGGAGTAATAATTTCAGCTGTAATAGATTACATATGTCAGCAGATTGGTCATAAGACTGTGAATATTAAATACTCAACATGTGTTGGCATCAATTAAGCAGAAGAAACCTGAAGCAAATCCGGTGGCATCAAAGTCACAATGAACTCCGTTGCGGAATCCTCCAGTGGTAGCAATCACATTGGATCCCACAAAAGCCTTGTCCCCAAAGACTTGGGCATTGGGTGATTTCTCCCACTCTTTGCTACCAGGCACCGGCTCTTTTGATCCCCACGACGGGGCATCAGTCTCTTCGGCCAGCTTCTTGTTGGAATCATAAACAAATAGAGATAAAGAACATGTCCTTTCAGCATGAAAGTCCACTACCCAAGGAAGTTCATCTTGGCGGGCTTCGTCCTCGTCTAGTTTGGCTGGATCCTCGCTGGTAGCTGAATTTTGGGCATAGGTTGCTGGTGTTAGAACATGGAACAAATTAAGATTCTGAAGTATCCTCATGTGAAAAAATTAAGATAAACAAACCAATAACTGTTCCTCTTTGATATTGTCCAGCACGCTTAGATGATCTGTGACCAAATGCTTTCATAGTACCTTGCCGCTTGTTGGGCGGTAGCATCTTGACTGCATGATTTTCCTTGATCACTCCCCGTGCTTCAGAATGTTGATGCATGATCTTGATAGCCCTTCGAAAGTCTTTCCAAAGTTGCACTTGGGCAGGGTCAATGCTGGCAGGGTCCTGCAGCAAGAAATGTCAGCCATGGGGAAACAACAGAAAGTTTGAGGGACTTGACCTCTTTGTTGAACCTAGCAACACATATAAGCTTATTTCCAGCCAGATTCACAAGTAACACAGTCCCATAGGTCACTACTTGCTCTTTCCTGTTCCCAAATTGAGGAACTCGGAATACTTCACAGTCCTCTGGCAAGCCAAACCGGTCTTTGATTCCTGCTTTGATTCTGTGACTGACATGTTCTCTTCCAACATCCCGGACTGGATCCCGTTGGGCATTGTGTTGTTGAGCCTTCTTCCGCTTTTGGTACTCAACCATCTTTTGCTTTCGTAGTTCAGATACTGGTTTGGGCATCTACAGGGAAAAAAACATTGCTTTGATTAATGGTATGTTCAACACTTGAATATTTTGGAATGTGTGTGGGGATGCAAAGAAAAAAGTGATAAAATTTTGGTTGTATGAAATGATTCAATGTGAGATCTTATGAATGATTAATTGAATGAATGAGAATTGAGTAATTTCTTGAGGATTGAAATCAGGAAGCACCGAGATACATGTAGCAAAGGGTTAGGCTGGTAGTTGGGGGTCCCCTCGCTCACTTGCCCTGCCCTTCGCAAGACATAAACATCTCTGCATGTATTTCAAGTACTTCCGTCTTCCATGAGTCAATGTGAATAACGGTGAGCTGTAAATCATTTGATATAAGTTAATTTGCATTTATGAATCATTGTTTGAAGTTGAGTATTGAGTAATTTCTTGAGGATTGAAATCAGGAAGCACCGAGATACATTTAGCAAAGGGTTAGGCTGGTAGTTGGGGGTCCCCTCAGTCACTTGCCCTGCCCTTCACGAGACATAATCATCTCTGCATGTATCTCAAGTGCCATCGGCTTCAATAACACTACAAGAAATATAATGTTTTCTGGGCAGAAAATTAAATTATTGATACACAAAAATATTGAGAGGCCAGGAGAAGGGCAACAAATAAATAAAAATATGCATCTTGTTCCCTGCGGTGAGAGCTTCACTCTCCATATTTTTCCGTATTTTTACAGTCCATATTGATAAGTGTACTAACAATAAACCTTCACAATCATCCAATTACAACCTGTAACAAGCACTGAAATTTGGCTCATTAGTGTTTAGAGACACTTTTGATTTCTGAAAATACTCATAACTTTTTCAATTCCAGTCTAAAACGCTCGATTTTGGGTGCATTGGTAAGCTGGAATTGTCCTCCACATAGTTCATAAGAGGACCACACAGCATGCTGGTCTGCTAAAAAAAGATATCATCTTTTTTATACATTTGTACATACAGATCCATAGAATGATTGTCATACTAGCTACATAGTTCTTGATCTTATGAAAGTTCGAGGGGAAGAGTTCAGCTTTCTAATGCACTTAAAATCGAGTGTTTTGATGCAGATTTGACAAAGTTATAGGTGTTTTTAGGTATCAAAAGTTTCTCTAAACACTAATGAGCCAAATTTCAGTGCTTGTTACAGGTTGTAATTGGATGATTATGAAGGTTTATTGTTAGTACACTTATCAATACAGACTGTAAAAATATGGAAAAATATGGAGAGTGAAGCTCTCACCGCAGGGAACAAGATGCATGTTTTTATTTATTTTTTGCCCTTCTCCTGGCCTCACAATATTTTTGTGTATCAATAATTTAATTTTCTGCCCAGAAAATATTATATTTTGTGTAGTGTAATTGTTTGTGAGTAAATCATGAGAGGTAAATGTTTTGAATTATATGAGTCTTCTTTTGCAATGAATTGAACAGATGTTTGAGAAATATTGATTGATTTATTCATCTACATTCAATTAGATTCGGCTTCTTGTGGATTCTTCAAGTTTCCATTTCTTCTTATATGATCTGTCTTCATCTCGGTGAGGTAAAGAACAGACGGGAAGACATAGGAAGAACATGGATTACCTTGGTTGATTCAACAAATTGAAGGAAGCGGACAGAACAGATTTCAATAATAATAAGATCAGAAGAAACTGGGAACAAAGGACTGGTTAAATGCTTCCACTCAAATGGTGGCTGAGTTGTGGTCAGCCATTACACGATGTATACACATGTAGCCTTATACCTTACAGTTGATATGTTTACATATCTCACATGTCATCATATGGTTCACACAAGGTTGTACCACGGAAAGTTTTATTACTCAAGAACCAATGATAGTTGACATTGCTTACATAAGAGTATTTTGGTGACGAAAGAAGAAAACAAAGCATAGAAGATACAAAACATTCACTCAATATCCATTGCATCTTCCTCTTCCCCTACAACCGTCAGCTTGGTGTTGTTGATCTTCACCAAAGGGATATAAGCTTTAGGAAGAATAGCACAAGTCATACCTGGTACCTGCACCAACCAATAGTATCCAATGTTGTAGGCCAGGCATATGGCCAGCTGAATCTTTTGAACCTTGACTTCACCAAACACTGATTTCCCAGGATGAACTGACCGCTTGAGAGGGAAATAGCCTTTGACCAAAAGTCCCATAAAGTAATCATGAGTCCGGCACCAAATCTTCTCCTTGATCTGAATCTTCTCCAACTTTTGAATTTCTTCCGCAGCCTTGATGATTGCCATAGCATTGCCCACTGGCACATGCTTATCTCTTGAAGCCAACATTAATCCTCTAACACCACTAGTTATGAAACCGGCCAAGGAACCCCATGCAAACCCAACCTCCTTCAATTCTTCAATCTTCTTATTGATATCTTTTTTGATTTGTTTTTGCTCAGTATCAGTTGCTTTTTCAGGAATTTTTGAATGTAAATCCATTACAGCTAGCCCCATTAATACATTGTGAACACTGACTGAAAAGTTTTGAAGATTATTCAATGTACAAGCAGACGCAAAAAGTTTACGTCACCCCCTGGCCCCGACTAGTGTACTAACCGGACAAGTGTACTGTGTAACATATGTAATGCGAATTTGACTTTGAAGGTACCATCAGATTTAGGTCGATAGCTCTCAATTCATTCTTTTTACATGGTTGACCTCTCTCAGGGCTCAGCATTGCAATGAAGATAAGTTGCAAACATGCTACAATCATACACATCCAACGAGAAAAAGGGCGAATCATGATTTTGATACACCCGGTCCGAGTTAGGCGAGTTTCAAATGGGTGGTGACGAACAAAGATAATGGAATAAGAGATCACGGTAATCTAAGCTAGCGAGCCACTAAAAACTAAAGATATAGTGTGTTGAGAATCAAAAAGGACCTAATTAGATATTGGATGTGATATGGAATACACACAACGAGGAAAAATTGGATAATGGGCAATTTTATTATGCTCGATCTCAGTTGATTGACCAAGAGGGCATGATAGTAAGCTAAGCTAGCCAGACACTAAGAATAAAGATGTGATGTGTTGCAAATCAGAAGGAACCTAGGTAGATATCGGATGTGTAAGTATGAGGTGAAGGATGATCAGTTTGAATTGAAAATACATACATTTTTTTCACCATCGAGTATGACCACCATCTGCCTGAAGCACAGCCTGGATGCGGTCAGGCATCGATTCAACAAGTGAGCTGAGAATTTCATCTCCGATAAATTCCCACTTGTTTTGTAAAGCTATACACATCTCGGCTACTGTTTTGATATGATAATTCTGTGAGATAGATTTCTTCATGAGACGCCAGACATTCTCAATCGGATTCAGATCGGGACTGTTGGCTGGCCATTTGATCTTTGAGATGCCATGATGTTCCCGCCACTCTTTCGCCACTTTGCATCCATGGACCGGTGCACCATCTTCCATCAAGGTCATGTCATCTGAGCTCATACCAGAGGTGAAAAAAGGTTGGATGCTGCCTTCATAAACTTGTCCCACAAAGTCTGGCCCAGTTCGTTTTCCCGGCTCCATAAAGACAAGATCGAGCTTGGTGGTGTTTACAAAAGCCCCCCAGATCATCACAGAGGTACGACCACTCTTGAAAGTTGGAACTAAGCATTCATTACGGTACTTTTCGGTGGGCTTGCGCCAGACTCGAATTTTCTCGGAGACTTTGCCAACCTCAAACGAAGACTCGTCCGACCAGATGATGTTCTTCCAATCGGTGACAGTCCAATGTTGATGGAGGCGTGCAAATTCAAGCCGCCTCTGAATGTGGTCGTCTTTGAGGAAAGGTTTACTAGCTGGGACCCTGGAATGGTAGCCGAGTTTGTTGAATACTGAGCGGATGAGACTTGGACTAGCATCGAGATCCAATTTAGAGGTTATATGTGCAGCAGATGCACGTCGATCACTTTTGATTTCTTCCTCCACGCGCTGAATGTCTTGAACTGAAAGCTTTGGTGGCCTTCCCAAAGATTTGACTGGTATGAGATTGTGAGTCCTCTTATACCTCTGGATGACCGTAGATATTGTACTTCGTGGACGCCCCAAATGTTTAGCTATCTTACTTCCACTCATACCCCCCTCGTGGAGACCAGCTATATGGCCCAGCTCATCAGGTCTGGGATTACGAGTCTTCATGTGTGTAATGAAATAAATTTGATTTTCACAGTTGGTGTTGGAGTGGTTTCTGGTTATTTTATAACTTCAAGTCTGAGGAGGTCAAGTCACTGATCATACATAGATGCGCTCTCTTTAGTGCGGTTAGTACACTAGTCGGGGCCAGGGGGTGACGTAAACTTTTTGCGTCTGCTTGTACACTACCAGCATTAAAGAGGTTCCCAGATGGGAATATGGGTCGTAGGAATCAGACAGCCTTTGTGACTACATATATATCCGTGGCGGTCTGATCCCCACGACCCATATTCCCATCTGGGAACCTCTTTAATGCTGTCAGTGGTATCGGCTTTGACCACTGCTGATTTGTGTGCAATTAATTGAGATCCTGACGAGCCTGAAGTAAGTAGATTTTCTCCGCCACCACTGGAGCCTAAGGTTGGACGAGTTAATAATAAATGAGAAACAAATCTATAACTATTTTCATAAGGAGTAGCATCCGACATGAATCTGCTGTCGTTCCAATTTGGATTGACGACACCAGTTGATGAATCAAAGAGTGATTGACACAAGTTTCATTCAAAGCAGACAACCGGACAGACCGTGCTTGGAAAACTCAAATTGAATCTTTGGCAAAGGTACTCAAACTCAAGGGGAACATCAATGTGTGATACAACATGAGGATGAAGAACAAAAATTCTCACTGTACGTGATCTTTTACATTTTGGTTTGGAAATATGAAGGTAGCTACAAGAGTGGCATAAACACAGAAAGGTTAAAGTGCACTAAGCTACACTACTCCATGAATTACATTTGGCTATCACTGTCCTAGAGGGAGTCTTCATCCGAATGATCAGCATTGAGATTGAATTCGTTTTCAACTAAGATCTTATAGTACTCGCGAGATCAAGCCATTAGATCCATCGCAGTTCCGCAAGCAATTCCAAAACCGATAAGATCGCGGGCGTTCAAAACATCCGGGAAAAGGAATTGATGAAAGGATTCGATACCATGTTCAAGCAGACGGGAGCGTAGATTGTTGAGATTTTCTTCCGGAACATCACAAAAGCTCAAATACTTCTTCAAGCTGGTGGAACGGGTGATGCGTTTGAGGGTGTGGTAATCTATGGTTATGTCAATGCCCTGCATTTTGCCATAACCATATCTGACCACAACGGGGCGAGTGTCTTGCAATTGAACTCTCTTTGGATTGGTGACCGGGGTGGTTGTGGATAGTGGTTGCTTGTCATCAACCCATTTGAAACCCTTAAGATACATAGGATAAGAAAATTGAAAGTGATTATCCCAAGGGCAAAACTTTGGGTGGTCAAAAATTGGGTTCCTCCTGCTAAAAAGTGGAGAATTTGCAGATTTTATATCAATTTGTCGATTTTGTTTGAATTGCTGGTTTGCCTTTAATATGAATGAAATGATTTGAGAAAAAGTAGACACACAATGATAAGACACAAGAGAAATCAACAACAGGAAAGGACTTTAGTCAAATGATCTAACTCAGACAATCTGTAACACCTTAAAGGACAGAAAGACAAAATAAGATGCAGAAACATAGAAGTGATGCCTAAAGCAAAAAAGGAGGAACTCGATAAAAGTAAAAAACAAAAAAAAGAATGACATTAAAAGCAATTCCTGATGTCATAAGTCTTTTTTGATTGAAGTGTGGTGACGCAGGTACCAGGAATCACACCTGTCCATATCACGCCAAGGAAAGCTCGCCGCAGAACAGGACGTCCTGCGAGCGTGTGAACACGGATCCGGACTTGGACCAATAGCCGATCCCCTAGATTGGTCAGCCTGCCCTTGGAAAGGCCTCAGACAAGGCACAAGGCAGAGAGAAGATTCTCGAGAGAGAAATCTTCCTCTCAAAGGTCCCCAGGAATTCTTCTCTCTCCTTGTCCTTCTCGCCAAGTCCATTCTCACGACTCGTCCCTCCTCTTCCATGCTTTTTGGCGCGCGGATATCAGCCCTCTGATTTTTGAACTCGAACATGGTCAGAACCAGTAGAAGAAACGGCGGTTTGAGTCCTGAATTCACGGCACCAACGAGTCCTCCAGAATTTGAGATTGAGACTGAACAAGAAGAGATAGAGAAGATGAACAAGATTTAGCAAGAGCAAATGCATTAGAGCAAATTAAAAACAAAAGAGAACAACGGAAAAAGAAGAAAGATTCAGTAGCCTTTGAAGAAATTGACACCAGCTTAACCTTCGATGAAGACATAGTATTTGACGAAGAAAGAGAAGATGAGTCAGATAACTCATACTCTTCCTTAGAAATAGAGCAACTAGTGAAGGAATCCAATCAAGGTTAGTATCCCTGTTCAGTATTCCTTTTTAAAAATTATCTTTCCTTCTTGAAAAATAAAAGGCTTCAATAGCATTCGTCATTGCTTTACATCAAATATGAATTATTTGTGATTTGATTTGAACGTTCCAATATCTGGATTTCAAAGAGTGATCTATTCTTCTAGCGATTGGATTCAAAGCGTGATCTATTCCGCAATTGAATAATAGGTGTTTTCTATCGATTGGATTCAAAGCGTGATCTATTCCGCAGTTGAATAATAGGTGTTTGTGATGTACTCCAAACGTTCTTGTCGTGATTTACTCCGACGTCCAATATCGTGATTTATTCCAAACTTGCGAATCATGATCTACTCCGATTTTCCTATTTTCTTAACATTACTTACGAATCGTGATATACTCTGAATTTCCTATTTGCTTAACATTAACATTATCACATAGAGGATAAAATATTATAAATCATATTTAATTCGTGATTGATACTAGATATTCAAAGACTTTATGTTATTGAATACTTCACGATGTTCAACACTGTCTTAATATTAGAGATTATATTCTTCATGTTGAGATCTATTTAGATTATTCCGTGATTATGTATCAACATACTAATGAATATGATTGCGATAATTTAGTAATTTCAGTAGAGGTCGCAAAAATGGCGTTAGCAATGGGGAACACGAAGTTGGTCAAATGATTCTTGAAGACCTTAGAAGAATCAAACGAGACAGTGTCAACAGACAATCCTTTGAAAAATTATAAAAGTGGTCACGTCTCGAACTCAGAATTGAGAGCTTTCACTATGTATTGGGATAACCATTTGAAGAAGTTAGATATACACTTAAAGTTGACAATTTTCAATGATAGATGGATCAAATTAGACCATAATGTAGTTGATAACAGCAACGTATCTACGAAAAAGAAAGAAAAATCCACAGGACAACCAGCCAGGAGTGAATGGTGGTTTTCCTTTGCGGACTGGACTAGAGCTAAGACCTTAATGTTGAAATATTTACGAAACATGTATCATCATGGTCCATTCGCAGATGAGTAAGTCGTTGATTGACTATTAAAGATTATCAATAAACTGATATCAATTACGCCTATAGTTTAGAAAAACATTTCGAACACGTAGAAACTCTAGGTCTCAGGCACGGATTGGTCACTGCTTTCAGATATGATATAATGGTAAGAACAGATGTTCTTTGCAACCGTGTAAATGGAGCCCCAGGAGATCCAAACAAATTCAGAGAAAATTTCTTAGAAGAAGCAAAGGCAAGGTCTGATTTACTGAAGGATAGCAGAATTATGCTTTTAGATAATCGTAAGCTGTAGGAATCTTGCTTACAAATAGATCTAATAATTCTAATGAGATGTTTAGGCCATTGCTATTTGCCGCCCACATGAAATCCATGTAGGCGCTGTCCAAAATACGCCTACATGGATGTTTTCCGCCAAAAAGCGCCTACATACAGCCTGTAGGCGCTTTTTTCTTTTTTAAATGACGCCTACAGGCTGAAAAACCAATGTAGGCGTCATTTGTGTACGCCTACATTCTATTTTTAGAATGTAGGCGCTCGAAAAAAGCGCCTACATCCCCCAAAAAAGGATGTAGGCGCTTTTTTTGAGCGCCTACATTCCCTCCTCTGTAAGTAGGCGCTGGCAAATGAGCACCTGCTAAGTAGGCGCTTTGAAATTACGCCTACATGCCCTAGGAACCATGTAGGCGTAATTTCAAAGCGCCTACATAGTTTTTTTAGCCCAAATCAGCGCCTACATCCAGTTGTGCATATGTAGGCGCTACAAATCCAGCTTCATAACCCCTCAGCCGGGTAATGAAGCCCCATTTTGATGTCCAAAACACAGTTTGGCCTCGAAATGAGTGCACCGGAGGACGGAAAACACATTTCGGACTTGAAATGAGAGAACCGGAGGCCGGAAAAGACCAAAAACGCAGTTTGGCCTCAAAATGAGTGCACCGGAGGACGGAAAACACATTTTGGACTCGAAATGGGAGAACCGGAGGACGGAAAAGACCAAAAACGCAGTTTGGACTCGAAATGAGTGCACCGGAGGACGGAAAACGCATTTTGGACTCGAAATGAGAGAACCGGAGGACAGAAAAGACCAAAAACGCAGGTGTGTTATGGTATTTGAAGTTTAATACAATCTTCTCATCTCAACATGAAGGGGATCAGATTATTATACTTCAGAAATAGAAGGTTTGTAAATAACTTCCTCATATATATCAATCAACTTTTAACAAAAAAAACCCATTCTGAAATTATTACACAAAAAAAGAAATACAAATTAATCAATAACAACAACTTTTCGTCTTTTCGAACTTCTGGTGGTAACTCCTTCTTTTAATTCCTTCAATTTCTCTATTTCCTCCATCTTTCTTTCCCATAAAGCAAAACATTGTTTGAGAAAACCGTCATTTGTCCACCCAGCAGCATTTCTTCCAGCCATTGAAAGCCAAATTTTATGCTGATCTTTCCATAGAGAAGGGTTTGGAAAAGGTGAAGGAGAATCAGAAGAAAAAGAAATAGAAACCCAATGACCATTTGCGACAAAACCAAGAGCTATAGGTTTATTAGTGGAATTCTTTTTGGAAGAAAATGGAAAGAAAGTCATACAGTGATGATGAGTGGTACTCATGATCACAACAGGCCTTGAAAAAGCATTTGCTGCAATTGGACCCATAGTGGTTGATTCAAACCAGTTATATTTGCTGACAGGTTCATCTGTATAAGTTTCAATTTTTTCTGATATGTCTTGAATGTATCTTTCAGTTGCCAGTTCTTGTTTTTCTTGAATTCGAGCCTTGGTGAGTGACTTTTTAGCTTTCGTAGAAGGACTCTTCTGCCAATAAAACTTAAGATATTCTTTATGATGTATGTCTAGATCTTCAACCATCTTTTGTCTAATAGATTTCTGAGTACCTTTTTTGTGTTGACCAAGAGCATGAGCTATAGCGTGAAATCCACAATGTCCATCCCCAGGAGGATCATAAATAGAAGTAACATAAGGTCTAACAAGATCTAATAATTGATTATGATACTCTTCAATCTTGTGAGGATCTTGATAATGATTTAAATGATAAAATTCTTGATCATTATCATAATCAGCTTTAATAATTTCTTCATTATAAGTCAAAGCTTTCATCATTTCTGCTTCTTCTTGTTCTGATTTTAAATCATTTGAAAATTTTGAACTAGCTGAACTTTTTGAATCATCTACATCGTCTGAATCTTCATCTGAAACATCATTAAGATTTGTTTGATCTATATCAGTTAAATCTTCTGAGTTTATTAAAATTATTGATTTTTTAACATCATCTGAATCATTTGAAACATCATCACCATCTTCTTCTTCTTCTGAATATCCATCATCTTCATCAGTTGAATATTCAACAGCACACTTTGATTTATCATGACCTAATTCTCCACAGTTACCACATTTCATTTTCCTCTTCCTTTCTTCTTTTTCAACGTGTTCAAACCTTGAAGGATCCCTCTTGAGTTTTTTATTTTTAGCGCCTTTAGGTCTTCCTTTATTTTTGGGTTTTTCTGATTTAGAAGGAGGTTGAACAGGAACTTAAACATATCTACCGCTGATTAACTTCTTCAAATCTGATTCAAATTTAGCTAGATAACTTTCATCTTGAAGTTTAATCTTTTCTAAATGTGATTCAATTTTAGCCCTGATTTCTTGAAGATCTCTAGGTGCATACTCAGTAAATAAATGCCACTGCTGATCAAACTCTTCAATAGGAATTGGTTGTTCTACAAGTCCTAAATACGTACTAATTTGATGAGCACATGGTATACCCCAAGTGGGGGTGAAATTCGAGTTGCAAGGTGGAAGTGAAAGTGAATCTGAATTTAAAATTAATTTGAGTTGATCATTTGCTTTCTTAATAGCAAATTGAGAAATTTTACCGTGAAGATCGTCAAAAATAGAATGAAATTTGTTGAGTTTTTTGGATTTTTGTCATCTCCGTGATTTAAATCTAATTGAACTTTGGAAAAGGGAGAAGGTTTTTGAGGTGGAAGTGATAAGGGAGCAGCTTGAAATGAATTTGAATTTGAAACAGAATGGGAAGTTCTTTTGGAAGGTGGAGTTGTCAAAACTACATTCTGATTAAAATCCGTATGAAACTTTTGATTATCTTGATTTAAATTCATTTCACTGTCAGGTAATTGTTGAATGGAAATATTATGATTCATCTGATTATTTGACTGAATTGGATGAGTGAAATTGTTGAGATTTGGATTTAAATCATTCATCTGATTATTATTACTATTTGATTTGTTATAACTGAAATTTGAATTAGAAGAAGTGATTAAATTTGAAGAATTTAAAAGGTTTTGATTGACGGAATTAAAATTTGGTTGAACAGGATTATTCATCTTTGATTGATTGATCATATTCAAAAGAAGACCCAAAGTGTTATTGTCAATTTGATTCATACTATTTTGATTTAAGGTATTTTGAGTTTGATTTGGTAAATTTAAATTACTATTATTGAATGAATGAGTGTTAAAGTTGGAATTATTATTGTTCAATAAAGTTTGAGTGTTGAAATCCGTGTTAATCACACCATCATTAATATTCAATAAGCTACTTTGATTGTTCATTAAATTACTTTGATTCATCATTAAGGAACCTTGATGGTTTGATGGAATTTGTTGATTATTGTTGAATAAATGATTATTATGATTATTGAACATCTGATTATTATTATTCATCATCATATGATTATTATTCATCATATTATTCATATTATTCATTATTTGATTACTGAAGTTTTGATTTAAATTGTTGTTTATATTATTCATTTGATCATGTTGTAAACTGTTGAAATTGTTGTTGTGATTATTCATCTGATTGGTATTGTTGAAAGGTTTAAAATCACCCGTAGGGATTTGGTTGTTGTTGTTGAAGTTGTTGTTTTTCATTTTAATTTGATCTGAAGAGTGAAAACCTGGCGTGACTAGCTTTAAAACTGAGAAGTTGATGATTTTTTGAAGGGTGGAGGGTTGAAAAAGTTCAAAGTCCGTGTTCTAGAGTGGAAAAGGGGGGAAAGGAGCCAAGGAGCCTCTATATCAGTGGATGTGTACGTGAAGTTTGACCAAACTTCCACGTACACACATGTGTAGGCGCGTTCCCACGCGTCTGAACAGCTGTAGGCGCGCAGAAATGACGCCTACATGGCTGTATTAGGAAAGTGGGCGCTTTTTTCCCACGCCTACATGCCGGAAAATCCATGTAGGCGTGATATTCACCCGCCTACATGTCAAATCTTAAATGTAGGCACACAGAAATTGCGCCTACATGCAAAAAAAGAAATGTAGGCATAAAATTCAAGCGCCTACATATGTAGGCGCACCCAAATTACGCCTACAGTCGAAAAAATAAAATGTAGGCGTAATTTCCGTGCGCCCACATATGTTGGCGCTTCAAATTGACGCCTACATTTCAGTTTTGGAATGTAGGCGTATACAAATGACGCCTACATTGGTTTTCCAGCCTGTAGGCGTCATTTGAAAAGGGAAAAAGCGCCTACAGGCTGTATGTAGGCGCTTTTTTGTGGGAAAAAGGCATGTAGGCGCTGTTTTGGCAGAGCCTACATGGATTTTGTGTGGGCTGAAAATAGCAACGGCCTATGTTTATTGTTAGCTTATGCAAAAGGACACGTCAGAGAAAAAATTTAGTCCGATTACAGGCAGAATCTACCCTTTGGACAAAATCACGATTCATCAGAACTCCAAGATAATGATGAAGAAGAGTCTATAGACACTTTGAAACCTACTGCTTATAAGAAAGATGATAGGTTCAATAAGAAAGATAATTATCAAAGGAACAACAGAAGGAATAATAGAGGAAAATTTAGAAAGGACATTTCCCCAGGACCTAATCACACTACAAGAAAGATAATATTTTCTGGGCAGAAAATTAAATTATTGATACACAAAAATATTGAGAGGCCAGGAGAAGGGCAAAAAATAAATAAAAATATGCATCTTGTTCCCTGCGGTGAGAGCTTCACTCTCCATATTTTTCCATATTTTTACAGTCCGTATTGATAAGTGTACTAACAATAAACCTTCACAATCATCCAATTACAACCTGTAACAAGCACTGAGATTTGGCTCATTAGTGTATAGAGAAACTTTTGATTTCTGAAAATACTCATAACTTTTTCAGTTCCGGTCCAAAACGCTCGATTTTGGGTGCATTGGTAAGCTGGAATTGTCCTCCAAATAGTTCATAATA